GAGGTCCTGTAAGACCACAGCAATTTAGCTGCAGAAAGAGACAGAAGAGTTAAAAAAAAAAAAAAAATCAAAATAAAGTTCAAGAGCCTTGTTATTTTCCTTTGAAATAAAAAAAGGAACACTATGCCATATTCCTTGGAGAGCTTTGCAAGTTTTAGTTTAGTTCAAACAATTAACTAGCAAGGCAGGGAAGGGGAAAGCAAACATTTTGACCAGTGTAAAAAAAAAAAGTTAATTTTATTAATTTAGAATACTGCAAGGATGGCAGTAGCTTTCATCAGTTTGCCATTACCTTATATATACACACACACACACACACACACACACACACACACAGATATTGCAGAGTATGCAAAATCAATAGTAGAAGAGCAAGTTTTTCTAGGTAGTTTTTACTTCTCACTCATTGCCTTTCAAAAGGGTTGTTTCTCCCATCGTAAGATGGAAGAGATGCATTTTCTCAAGTCACTAATGTTTAAGAACTGTATAGGATACAAATTCTGTTATGGCTATTCAGTAGTTGGAGATCCCTACTCAATTTATCTGAGAAGTTCACATTTGCTGAGAGATGGCATCTAGTTTGCTCATCTTGTTCAGTTAGACCTACAGTACTGCAAAACATTTTAAGTTGAATGGCTTAAAAACTAAAATGAATCAAGTACAAAGCTTCTGCTGAAAGCTATTAATCAACCACTCAATTTCCCTTTTTTCCAATCTTTGCACTGTTTTCATTGTAGAGCAAGGCACAGGAAACATTAAGTACCTATGCCTTTACTTGAAGAGTTACATGTTAATTGACTCTTAGTTATCACCCCCCCACCCAACTGTCTTGGGCAAAACAACAAAAGAAACCACAAACCAAAAAAACAAAAAACACCACGTGAGAAACTTCAGGCTCTTGCTCCAAAAGGAGTTCCCAGAAACTTGAAAGCAAGGATTACACAGAAGACACTTCTCAACTTCAAGTATATAGTTACTTCTTCCAGAAGTAGTATTAAAATAGTTCAAAAGGATTTTCTTCTTGAACTGCAGCTTGAATGAGGCTGCCCAAGCTGAAGGTTCATTGCATTAAATTACTGCCCAACTTCTTACAAAAAGAGAAGCCATGGGCACTTACTGCATGCTGAAAGGCTCTCAAGGTTTCTCTAGCAGCTGGCTGACTCCTCTTCTGGTAGGTAGCGGTATAGAAGTCTTTGACTTCTTGAATAACCTACAAAAAAAAAGTTAGCAGAGTTTAACCAGTCAGAATAGAGTAATATAGTACAGTAACCTTCCTAGGAGATGGTAGTAAGGAACTCTGTTTTCTAGTCTGAAACACCCCAACTTTAAGAAGCAACTCACCACCCTCCCCTTCCACCATAAGCATCAGCACTGGCCTAACACAGGCATCTATAAATGCCTTAACAGAATGGCAAGTAAAATGATGGGACATGTGTAGCAGTGAAAGGATAATACAGAACTGGAATAGAACTTAATCTGAGCTATGAATATGCAAGTACTATTTCAGGCCTCCCTCTGCTCTAGAACTTAGACTCCCTTACCCCATTTGAACCTTTTTAAATGAAGGCAAAAGCTTAGATTGTGCGCACTGGAAGCAAAGGCACAGTCTTTACTTCTGTAATCTTGACTCAGCAGTAGACAGATTTTGCCCCACTCCCTGCCACCCCACCCAAAAGAGAAGTCCGTCCGGCTCCACTTGTGATGCCTAGATAAGTCCCTGCATTGAGCTCAGTTCCTGTAAAATGTGCAGCTTTATGCATTTGATTTGTTCCACTGTCTACAGCGCTACTCACATGCATAAGCACTTCATTATTTGTAGGATATAGGCAAGGGGTGGGGGGGAACATAACCCAAGTCAAGGACCACATACCACCATAAATTTTTCTAAACTAGTGGACATTTTTGCTTATTTTTCTCTAGATGGCTGCAAAGTTTAGAAAGTACATACACAGCAAAGTGTGTTCATGTTTCATAGTTTCATAGTTTCTAGGGTCAGAAGGGACCCGAGTAGATTATCTAGTCCGACCCCCTGCCATGGCAGGAAAGAGTACTGGGGTCAAACGACCCCAACAAGGTCGTCATCCAACCTCCTCTTAAAAACCCCCAGGGTAGGAACCTGCACCACTTCTCTTGGAAGTTGGTTCCAGATCCTAGCTGCCCTAACTATGAAGTAGCACCTCCTGATGTATAGCCTAAACCTACCCTCTGCCAGCTTGTGACCGTTATTCCTGGTCGCTCCTGGCAGTGCTCAGGGGAACAGGGACTCCCCCAATGCCTGCTGATCCCCCCTGACTAGTTTATAACAGGCCACTAGATCCCCCCTTCAGCCTTCTCTTGTGGAGGCTGAACAGGTTCAGGTCCTGTAGCCTCTCCTCGTAGGGCCTGCCCCATGATCATGCGAGTGGCCTCCTCTGGACCCTCTCCATGTTGTCCAC